GGCCAAACTCTTCCAAAAAACAGCTCTGGGTTTCCCTAGGGTGCCTACATGTCTGTCTGTCTCAGGGTGAAGACATCGATTGTAGCCCTGAATGTGCCAGCGCCATAACGCTCTCGCGAACTCGGCGCGTGACTTGGGCGGTAAAATGGCGTCTATGCATTAGCCAAAGCGATGCGCTAGAGCTAAGTGACACCGGATTGCGCGCACTTCAATATGAATAAAAAAACGATGGGGCAGAAAAATGGCTGGGATGCCACCACTCAAGCAAAAGCGCGCGTGTGTATGAAGGCGCTCTAGGTTCCCCGAGAACTGGATCTTTGATGTTCTGTGCTACGAGACCCTCGCGCTTCAAATCTGCGACCGCGCAGTCTATGGCTCCGTCGACAATCTGCCACGCTTTGTGAATACAGAGGAGGCTATGGCTAAAGCCATTGCCCCGTGCCCTAGAGTTCTCATGCCATGAGCACGTGCCTGTTGGTTATGTTGCCACGCGTGTCGTCGAGCGAGAGCGTGTGTGACCAAATGGTTAGCGCGCTTGACGGTCGCACGGGAGATCTGGGTTCGATTCCAGTCTATCTATGCTGGAACGCAAACTGAATGATGTAGATAACTGCATCAGGCACTGATTGGCTCTTCTCTCGGGTCACGTGACATGACGTTGAAATGTAGTTTTTCCCTATGCAGTTCGAGCTATGCTCGAAAAATGATGCAGTTGGCGGTGACGTCAAAATGTCGTAACGATGTACTTTGACGATGCAGTTAACTGAGTGGTCGATGCGAAACCGAAGATCAATCTGCATCGTAAAACATGGCGACCCTAACATATGCATCTCTACTGTTGGTTTCGCCAGCGGATCAAGTTTTTAGAGATCACCGGGATGCTTTCGAGCCGAGCGATGTGAGGTTTGCGGGCGAATACCGGTTGACCAAAGGGGTGACTCGCTGGCTGTGTGACCAGCTTCGCGGAAAGCTCCAGCGTTGTCTTGAAGGGCCCCGTGTGCTGACGGTCGAACAACAAGTCCTCGCAGCTCTACGCTTTTACGCCGCTGGCGGCTTCCAGGGAACCGTCGGGAGCGACGAAAACATTGGTGTTCACCAGTGCTCTGTGGGTCCCGTACTTGGTGATGGCACCAACGCTATCATCGATTGCCTCGGATCGAAGTGGCTGTGTTTCCAACAAACTCAAGCAGAGAAGGCGCTCACAAAAAGGAAGTTCTTAGAGCGATGCAAGTTCAGCGGCGTTATCGATAAATATTCTAGATACTCTTACACCATTTAACACGATTGTGTTTTCATTTGAGTGCACCCCATATAAGCGATTTGGCTGAGCGAAAAGCCAAGCAAGCAACGGTAACAGGCTTAAGTTGAGCTAGTTCGTTCATACTTCAGGTAGAGAGAGAGATATATATATATGCTTTATTTTAAAGCAACTACTTCAGGTCAGGCCAGCTGAACTAGAATAAGCATACACATAAAGAAAAGACCATACACACCGTGGGGCTAACAACTGATTTTTTTCTTCCCTCTCTTCTACTATGAACCCAACTTGAGGGAAATATTCTCTTTTCTTCTTTTTTGCTTCCTACTTCACCACAAATTTAACCCCCAAAGGAACATTCTTTTTTTCTCGTGCAGCACGAGAGAAGTTGCACTAACGCAGTCAAATATAGTCAAAAAGTAAAATTTGTCGTTAGTTATTTATACAGCAGGAGGTTAGTCTGCCTGAACATGGCGACATTGTTACCCGCTGTAGATAAGCAATTTAGCCAGTGCAGTACAACTGCTAGCCCGGGGTCTTTAACGTGCATCGCGCAGTACACGATCGCACGCCGGTACGATGCTCATCCAGCAGATGGGAACGGGCGGGAGCGGGAATTGAACCCACGATCCCGGGGTTCTGGAGCGCGAGCTTTTGCTCCACGTGCTCCGAGCTGGTGTGCGCTAGCCTACTCGGCGATTCTCCGAAATTCCCTGTAGGGAAAAAAAGAACGATGTAGTTTCAACTCAACCGCCACTGTTCGGCGACGTCCCCGGACACGTCACGGTGCAGTTCTCTTCCGATGTAGTTGGTTGGCGATGGAGATTAGGCTCCTCCCACCGGCGACGTCACGATGCAGTTTCTCCACCGCTTTTTCCAGCATAGACAGACATAGCGGAATCTTATTTTATTTATTCCTTCTACTTGTCGTTCTTGCAAGTTCAAAGACTTTCTTCTGTCATGGAGTTCCGAATGTTCTACGCGCCGAATGTTCTAAGCCGAATATTTCAGACACCCACGCCGGTACAAAAGGTGCTCCGCGTAGTGTTCGATTCCGCTGTTACGCCGACTTCGACGCCGCGACGCTCTGTTGTTATATTCTGTTGACTTTTTGTTTTGGGCACAAGTTCGCCCCATTGAACGCTTCAGTTTCCTCAGTTATTCTTTGTTTCGTCACCTCGTCATCCGTGACAATATGTCAACTTCTTTCTTCTTCTCTTCTGGGTGACAGAGCGAGTTGTGCGTTCACCTGTACACCACAGGAGCACACCTGTCTCCTGTATTCTTTTACAGTTTCCTCACCTTGCTCGCTGACTTTAACCATGTGTCAACCACTATTGTTGGCTGTTTACGAATTGCGATAGCATTCGTCCAGGACAACTTCGAAGATGATGTCCAAGACGACGTCCTAAAGGACGACGTCCTAGACGACGACATCAAAGACGATGTCAAAGTCGGCGTCAGGACGACCTTTAAGATGACGTCGAGGACGACGTCTAGAACGATCTCTAGGGCGATCTCAAGAACGAACTCAAGGACGACATTGAGGACGGTCTCAAGGAGGGCCTCAAGGACGACCTTGAAGACGACTTCAAGGACGACCTTTAGGACGACCTCCAAGACGACGTCAAAGACGACGTCAAAGAGGACGTCTCTAGACGACCTCTAGGACGTCCTCAAGGACGACTTCTAGGACAATGTCGAGGACGACGTCAAGGTTCTCAGGCCCTTCGAAGAGGGTGCGAACGTGAAGGAGTGTGAGGATGTGAGGAGAAGTGGTCTACTACCTATACGTACTGTGAATTAGGACGCCAGAAAGCCCAAAAAAATTACACCATCTTCCCGAGGGGAACCATGGGGTGATGCGGAGCATCGTTCCATTACACTTCATCGGAAGAACGGAGTGGAGTCAGCAGCGGTGAACTAAACGCGCGCAGAAATTGGTTTGCTCTTTATGTTTATACAGCCTTGATGGAGATGCGCCTCAACGGGTAATCGGTCTCTTAGCTGTAGATGAGAAATTTAGCCAGTGCAGTACAACCGCTAACTTGGGATTCTTAACGTGCATCACGCAGTAGTCATCACACGAACGCGTGCCGGTACGAAACTCATCCAGATCGAAACGGGCGGGGGTGGCGGGGACTCGAACCCACGAGGTTCCCAGCGCAAGCTTTCGCTCCACGCTCCGAGCTGAGACGCGTTAGCCCACTCGGCCTCTTCCTCCCCTTGAACGCCCGCAGCGCGCTACCGCTGCTTATATTCAAACTTGAAGGAGAAGAAACTAGAAGAGTAGAGTTGCGCCTGCGCGCGCGGTGTGAGTAGAAGCGAACGCATGCGAAGTGCACGCAGCTGCTAGCTGCGTGCACTTCGCGCAGCTGTTGAAGAGAGAGAGAACGCACGCGCAGCTGTTGGAGAGAGGGACGCAGCTGGTAGCTGCGTGCACTTCGCGCAGCTGTTGGAGAGAGAGAGAACGCACGCGCAGCGAGGAGAGTTGCGCATGCGTAGTGTGAGTGCGGACTACGACGCCGCGGGACATAGCCCGAGCAAGAGATGCTCCGCATCTAAAAATCCGGGGGTAGCTAAAGAACGCTATCGCATTAAAAAGGCGCGCGCGCGGTTCTCGGCAGCAGGCACGGCGCGCCGTCAGGGAGCGCGGCGATGCAAATCGGTCGGCGCTCCGGTCTTATCTGTGTGACGTCACTTTCGTGACCAAGTTTGCGTGACATCAGTCTTTCAACTTTGCATTACCTTCCAAGCGCGGAGGAAGAAGTAGCTCTATGTAAAAAAAAACAAAAACGATGACAGAAACGCAGCTCTCAGTTCGCACCAGACGCCAAAATTTCATAACATGCTGGAAAACTATGAAATTTATGATCTAATTCGAAGGTTATTAATATTTTAGGAAATGATCGCTACAGAAATTGTAGTCGACCAAAACCCCACGAATGCACAGAGATATGTGAACAGAATGTTAGGGTGCAAACGAGCTGGTGATAATTAAACATGATGAACTATAATCCTGAGACTAGGGAGACAGGCGACGATGAAGGAGAGGAAGAAGAGGAGTTCTTCCTCTCCTTGCGCTTAAAGCCCCTCGATGTGTTTGCGCTTGTCTTGCAAGTAGCGTCAAATGCGCAAGTGCACGAGGCCCATGTCTCGAGCGGCCCTTGGAAGCAAATGGCGGCGCAGCACTGAAATGAGCGGGTCTTGGAAGCGAATGGCGGCGGAGCACCCGCTCATGGCACGTGTCTCGCGCGTTTCCACAACAATGGTTGGCGGGTACCTGTAAAAAACGCTTTTATCAAGGGGCTTTACTTGCGCTAGCTGAACAGCGTCAGCTAGCGGGAACGAACACATTTTCCCATTGAAAGTTCCTAAAAATCATTCGTAACTTTTGAACCAGATAACGGCAACCTCTGAAACTTTGGCATTTGGTCCGGACCTCTAGTGTATACGTATGAGCGGAGACCGAGTGTTCGGCGTTGCGAAATTTATACTTGCAATACAAGCAAACAAAAACAAGGTTTTTTTTTTTTTGGGGGGGGGGGGGGGGGGGGGGGACACGCTGTATAACAGAAACGAAGGACCATGTCCGACCAAGTTAACACGCGCTTTGAGTGAGTCTTTCATAATTTAGGTAACAATCAGTCCGTGTTTACATTTCTATTTTAGTTTCAACCGCTTCTTCAATGTTTTTTCATACACACAAAGTTGTTCTCGTTCAGCAAACCCGCCAACTTACCAGAACAAGCCCCGCCTTGGCTGTAGCAAACTGGGTCACGACCCATTCGTACGTGTTTGACGCGATTATGGCAATTTTCGATTGAATACCAAGTTTGAGAGATACAAGCCCCGCAGCCAGTTGATCCACCTGAAAGGCATAAACGCGAAAAACAGTAAATTGGTCTATATGACGTTTTCGGTTCTCTAACGCGTGTGACGACTCTGTTGGTGCGACGTTTTCTGCCAAGTATCAGCGCCATGACGCGGCTGCCGTGACAGCCACGTCATGGCGCCGATGGCACGGAGTAGCTCTTGCCTGCGATACACCCTTTCAAAAAGTTCGCGCAATCTAGTAGCTGCAACGTAAATTATCCGAGACCGCCGCCGTCTGGGCACGCACTCTGAGCACGTATTGGACACGAGGTCTGCGTCAGCGTTCGGCGTGAACTCGGCTCGGCTCGTATCGGGAACGAGTCCAGCGTCAGCATTCGGCCAAGACTCGGATCCAATGAAGCTCTCCGTGGCCATAAAATGGCCACTGCCAATGTTATTTGGCAGGTTTTTGAAAAAGGGTCTATAGGTGTGAATTCTTGCCTCGAGCCGTAGCAGGACGGCTGCGTTTATTCTCTCCTTTAAGTGCTATGACAGAGTGTTTATAATGACGTTCAGTGATCAAGGCTGTCAGAATAGGCTCTAAAAACTTTTTTTTTTTAAAACTTGATATGCTTTTTAGCAGAACCCTCCCTCCAAAACATTTGTCCCTCCTTTCATTTGTTCGCCCGTCCGTCCGTGTGTTTCCCGCTAAATTTGGCGGGGAAACTGAATTGGTGTCTAGGTCACGTAACGTCAATTGATGTCACGTGACCTGACGTCAGATGATGTATACACCCATTACGCTCCCTCGCCAAAGTTGACGGGGAAATTGATGTCACATGATCTCTAGCCCCGTGACCTATGCACTAATTCACTTTCCCCACTAAATTTAGCAGAAAATCTGATGTCACGTGACCTGACGTCACATGATATATACACCCATTACGCTCCCTCGCCAAACTTGACGGGGAAATTGATGTCACATGATCTCTAGTCCCGTGACCTATGCACGTATTCACTTTCCCCACAAAATTTAGCAGAAAATCTGATGGCTCGTGACCTGACGTCACATGATATATAAACCCATTACGTTCCCTCACCAAAGTTGACGGGGAAATTGATGTCACATGATCTCTAGTCCCGTGACCTATGCACTAATTCACTTTCCCCACTAAATTTAGCAGAAAATCTGATGTCACGTGACCTGACGTCACATGATATATACACCCATTACGTTCCCTCGCCAAAGTTGACGGGGAAATTGATGTCACATGATCTCTAGTCCCGTGACCTATGGACTAATTCACTTTTCCCACTAAATTTAGCAGAAAATTTGATGTCACGTGACCTGACGTCACATGATATATACACCCATTACGCTCCCTCACCAAAGTTGACGAGGAAATTGATGTCACATGATCTCTAGTCCCGTGACCTATGCACTAATTCACTTTTCCCACTAAATTTAGCAGAAAATCTGATGTCACGTGAGCTGACGTCACATGATGTATACACCATTACGCTCCCTCGCCAAAGTTGACGGGGAAATTGATGTCACATGATCTCTAGTCCCGTGACCTATGCACTAGTTCACTTTTCCCACTAAATTTATCAGAAAATTTGATGTCACGTTACCTGACGTCACATGATATATACACCCATTACGCTCGCTCGCCAAAGTTGACGGGGAAATTGATGTCACATGATCTCTAGTCCCGTGACCTATGCACTAATTCACTTTCCCCACTAAATTTAGCAGAATATTTGATGTCACGTGACCTGACGTCACATAATATATACACCCATTACGCTCCCTCGCCAAAGTTGACGGGGAAATTGATGTCATATGATGCCTTGTCCCGTGAGTTATGCACTAATTCACTTTTCCCACTAAATTTAGCAGAAAATTTGATGTCACGTGACCTGACGTCACATGATATATACACCCATTACGTTCCCTCGCCAAAGTTGACGGGGAAATTGATGTCACATGATCTCTAGTCCCATGACCTATGCACTAATTCACTTTTCCCACTAAATTTAGCAGAAAATTTGATGTCGCGTGACCTGACGTCACATGATATATACACCCATTACGCACCCTCGGCAAAGTTGACGGGGAAATTGATGTCACATGATCTCTAGTCCCGTGACCTATGCACTAATTCACTTTTCCCTCTAAATTTATCAGAAAATTTGAAGTCACGTGACCTGACGCCACATGATATGTACACCCATTACGTTCCCTCGCCAAAGTTGACGGGGAAATTGATGTCACATGATCTCTAGTCCCGTGACCTATGCACTAATTTACTTTTCCTACAAAATTTTGCAGAAAATCTGGTGTCACGCGACCTGACGTCACATGATATATACACCCATTACGCTCCCTCGCCAAAGTTGACGGGGAAATTGATGTCACATGATCTTTTGTCCCGTGACCTATGCAGTAATTCCCTTTCCCCACTAAATTTAGCAGAAAATTTGATGTCACGTGACCTGACGTCACATGATATGTACACCCATTACGTTCCCTCGCCAAAGTTGACGGGGAAATTGATGTCACATGATCTCTAGTCCCGTGACCTATGCACTAATTTACTTTTCCTACTAAATTTAGCAGAAAATCTGATGTCACGTGACCTGACGTCACATGATATGTACACCCATTTTGTTCCCTCGCCAAAGTTGACGGGGAAATTGATGTCACATGATCTTTAGTCCCGTGAGTTATGCACTAATTCACTTTCCAAACTAAATTTAGCAGAAAATTTGATGTCACGTGACCTGACGCCACATGATATATACACCCATTTTGTTCCTTCGCCAAAGTTGACGGGGAAATTGATGTCACATGATCTCTAGTCCCGTAAGCTATGCTCTAATTCACTTTCCAAACTAAATTTAGCAGAAAATCTGATGTCACGTGACCTGACGTCACATGATATATACACCCATTACGTTCCCTCGCCAAAGCTGACGGGGAAATTGATGTCACATGATCTTTTGTCCCGTGACCTATGCACTAATTCACTTTCCCCACTAAATTTAGCAGAAAATCTGATGTCACGCGACCTGACGTCACGAGACCTGTACACCACTTTAGTTTTCCCGCTATATTGAGCGGAACAATTGAGGTCACATGACCTGGTGCCACGTGACCTATACACCGATTCAGTTTCCCGGCTAAAATTGGCGCTGAAATCGATGTCACGCTACCTAAAGAGTTTTCCCGCTAAATTTAGCGAGGAATTCGACGTCACGATCTACTTAAATCGCAGACACGACGCTTTAATGTCCTAAATAATTTTCAACAATCGCACCATACATACTGCATTTCGTGCGCTGTACAACTTTAAAAATACAAGTCAGTGCTAAATGTTTTTATGACCGCGTGGTATACGTTATCAGGTTTCGGCGACCAAGGTATGATGCTGCTGAAACAGTTAAATTTAACTTCCCGTGCAATTACAGACACACGGGGATGACATAAAGTGAGCGCGTACATAAAGTTTTGAAGAGTCGACGCTCCAGATGCCTGTGTGTTATTGTTCGCACATCAATATATTGCCTGAGAATGTCATCTCCCAGTAAATAAGGCGATGCTAATCGACCTTTCTGACGCTAGGTTTCTGAAAGCTCCCATCATCAGAAAGACTATATTCTTTCTCATTATAAGTGCAAGCAAACCGGAAGCTACTAGATTGAACACCACGTTTTGACTGGGTTTTCTGAGCACGAGTACCCGTACAGTGAAAGCGCTGTTTAGAGCTACATGTCTGCGCGCTCGTCACTTCGGCTTCGCTCCCAGTTATAATATAGCGCAGTATAGTATTCCGGTTTTTTGCTAAATTACCCAAGCTCCAAGCAGCACATTACTAGTATAGTTGCACTCGCTACACGTGTAGGCGTCTGCAACAGCAGCTATTCAAAAACAAACAACAACCAAAGAAAAAGAGAGACAGTTTGCACTCTTTAATGCCTCATTAATGCCGCTACTCAAATATGGCACCACATGGTACGCATAATTTAAAGCCTCTTAGAGATGAACACCCTAAAACAGGTGAGATAAATTCGAGCCCCAAATGTGAGTAACAGCGTCAACCAGGCAATAGAGCGAAAAAAAAGAAAAAAAGAAGAAAGAGACTAGAGACAAAAAACGGGACGACAGAACTCTGTCTCAAATGGCTTGTTTCATTTCTATTCCTGATTAAAACGAGCGTGTTGCAGGTATGGATAGCGAAAACAAAGAATAAAAACACGGAGGACATTCATAGACAACCCCAGTCTTTCATATGGTTATTTGTGAGCGTACTCCGTGTTTTTATTCGTTCTGTTTTAAGTATGCATCTTCCTACCGTTGGCCGAAAAATATAGAATTTTTCTTTGCTTGGCATTTTTTCTCCGAATACCTACACCCCCAGAATATGGGTATGATAAATGCACCACCTAAGTAAACCTTTGTGATAAGTTTCACTGCTTTCGATCTGTTTATTGACTAATTTATACGGCTTTTTTTACGACGCTCTGAAACACAGTGCAGAACTGGAACGAACAAGTATAAGTACTCACGTCCCTTTTGAGTTCCGCGTAGGTTTTGGTTATGTTTTGATGGCACGACACAATGGCCACGTTGCTTCCCTTGGTACGGAAGGTCCTGTCCAGCACGTCCCCGGTCGTGTACGGCAGCAACGGGTGATTGCTCACCCCGTGGAAGTAGCTGCCGGCCGGCTGCATCTCTCGAACTCGGAGCGAAGGAGCTTCACATCCGCTCTGCAGGTGCTTGCGAAGAACGGAGTAAAATGGTGCACATAAGGGCGAAAAAAAAGTGGAACGAAGACGCGAGGCGATCATGGTCAAGATGATTACGATGCTAGTGAGAATTTTGGTATAGTGCAAGAGCACTCTAGCACATTACTGTCATAATTTTCGTGATTCTTTGTTCAATCTACGGGGGCCCAATCAAGTCACCGAGAAGGAGTAAAGCTCTGCCATCACGAGCTCCGAGCTTCTCCCACAACTCCGGGCTGTCCAAAAAGCCCACGATGCGGCGGTGAGGCTATAGGCCTCCCCGTCCCCACGTGGGAGCGGCCCGCGGTGCTGCTCTAAGGGCGGCGCTTCACAGAGGCTCAATAAACTTCTTTCTCTGTCCGTTAAAGACCCCAGGTTAGCGGTTGTACTGCACCGGCTAATTTTCTCATCAACAGCTGGGAGACTCGTCGCCTGTTGAGGCAGACCAAGTTCTAGGCTGTATAAACATGCACACAACCCAATTTTTTTTCTTCGTCGGTCTGTCTGTTTGTTCATTGCGCACTCCTGACTACTTTGATCTGGATGAGCATCGTACGGGCGTGCGGTCGAGTATCACTACTGCATGATGCACGTTAAAGTCACCGGGCTAGCAGTAGTACGGCGCAGACAAAATGTCTCATCTACATTGACACTAATCTACAGCGTTCGGTGAAGTAGGCTATTTGCCTCGAGACCCAGATTGAATTTAGGGCAAGCGTTTTCTTGTTTATCCATAGTTCTCTATGAGACACGTGGTTATTCCCTCTGTCCACAATGCGGGCGACACCAACAGCACAGTGCACGGGCAAGGGTACAGAGCACGAGCTCGTTGCAGTTCATTCCAGTCTACGAGCGCTGTATTCGCGCCTTCCATGGCTTCGGCCTTGCGTCCGGACCACTCGTTTTGCTCCAAGTGTAAATCCATGGCCTCCGAGATTTTTCTCGCGCTCGCTGCTCTCCTCAGGCCACTTCATTCGCGCGGTAGAGACTGTCACTGCGGGGTGCTTGATAGCGCTCGCAACCAAACCAATTATTACAAAGAAATAGCCGCGAATTATCATAATCACCATGTCGTTGGTCTACGGAACCTAGGAGCAGCACGAAATGTGCTCCACGTTTCTCGCCGCAGCACACCGACCTTTGTCAAGAAAGAAGTTGATCAAAATCTGAAGGTTCATATTTTCGAAGCGCAAAAGGTGTAGAACAAATGCCCACGATGCTGTTTTCAAACAAGCTGCGCGTCTAATCATTTCAGCAGATAACAGGAAGGTGAGTCGTGGGCGAGTCAATCAAAATAGTGATAGTGATAGTGATTTATTTCGGCTCATGAGAGCCGCGACTTCGCAAAAAGGCAAGTCGCGGCGCCGCCCACGGCGCCTCGTCCAACAATGATGAAATGGTATCGCACGAATGAATTTTTGAAAGAAATGGCGATGATGGGTTTAAATGTAGCTCGTCGACGAGAGTGGGGGGGGGGGGGGGGGGGGATTGATGTTGCAGTTGAAGAGGGTGAAGAGAGTTAAGCCTAGTTCACATGCAGCGGTTTTGGCCCTAGAGCGGCGCGATTTCTGCCGTCGCGGCGCTGTGGCCAGCACCAGCAATTCAGTGGCACGAGCGCCGCGACGGCAGAAATCGCGCCGCTTTATGGTACGTTTACACCTGAAGAGAAATCCGCTGCCGCGGGAGCGGATCCGCTCCCGGCGGCGGCGGCGAGGAGCGCGTTGCGTTTACATCTATTTCCTTCGAGCAGTGGCGGCAGCGCCGGCTGCGGCAGCGGTTCCCGTAACGTCTCGTCAAATATGACGAGAAGGCGCGAGAGTTCCCGCCTCGGCTCTCTCTCTCCCGGACGTTGCTGCTCCCGGAAGAACGCGTACTCGTGACGTAGGCAGCGTCGCGCCGCGCACGAATGTCACATCCGGTCAGCGAAACGCCTCGTTCGGCGGCAGAAATAGGTCCTGGACCAAAACGGCTCGCCGCCGCGTTTTCCGCCCAGCGTTTTGCCCCAGCGGCAAAAGCTGGGCGGATTCGCTAGCGGATCCGCAAGTGTAAACGTACCATTAGGGCCAAAATCGCTGCATGTGAAACCCGCTTTAGGCTTGCAGCGGTTTTTGCGACTGCGGTCTTCGTGGGGCCTCTATTGGCGATAAGCGCGGCCAAAAGCGTCGCTGTGGTCAGCTTTCCACGATTGGCCAAACCATGGGCATATGAGCATTGTCAGATTGTCAACTTTGACGGTGTTAGTTTCGGATTGCGATGGCTCCTATAGCTTCTACTGTGCTTTTTAAACGCACCATCGAACTCGTCGTCGCACCCGATGGTAAGTAGCCAGAATAACAACTGGTGACGTCACGGCGAGGCAAATCCCAGTCGTGACGTCACGGAGAGAAACCATGAGAGGGCGCCACCGAAACATCTCGGCGCTAATACACCTTTGCAAGTGGGATCCCGGCTTAACCTCGAACCGCGCGCCAAGGTGAGGCGGACCTACTCTCCAGCCAGGACGTTCGCTGGTTGTCGTACAATGTTGCCAAGCGTCTCTCGCCGAAGCATACATTACTGAGCGCAGAAAGAAATTAAAAAAATAACTACAAAACATACACGTGTCGTCTTCGACCGCGAAAGAGCACGGATAATTAAATAAAATGCCTAAACCGGTAACAAATCGAAATATTTCAAAAATATCATCTCAAGGCGCTCTTCAGAATGCGCCACAAGTCGCATGGCCTTTGCATCAACGATGGCTGCGCTCGCGGCAGCTCTGGCTTCCACAACATGCAGGAACAGAGGCTGCGATCGTTATAGAGTCAGCTCCAACCCTTAAAAATGCCCCGCCCTACAATATGTGATGCTACGATTCTGTGTGGATACCTCCTCCTGCGTTCCGAGACAGTAAGTGTGCCGCTAACGTTAGCCATCGGCGATGCAGCAAACGGCACCATCTTGTGATTGCGCACCCCAGTGACGTGCCCCTGGCGCACCCCAGCATGGCGGAAACGGTACGGGGCGCCAGCATCGCTCAAAATGGCAGCGCACAGGAGCCTTTCTTGCAAATGTGTATGGGCTGCTGACTTTTAGCAGACTTTTAGCAGGCGCTGCTATGGGCGAATATATGGGACCCAAAGAACGATCCTTCAATGACCGGATGTTCAATTTAAACGTTTAAAAAGAATATATATAGGAAGCTTCGGTCTCACACTTACCACGACCGACGTTTTTTGAAAATAGGCTGTTTCTGAAATATTTGCGATGGCAACCTCCGGTCCTCGAGACGTCTAGAGATGCCTGCCGTAGACGACGAACGCATACGGAATGACTGAAGCAACTCGTGTGCCACAGTTTGAATAGTTTCATAGTGATACGATTTTGATCTCGTTTTTATTGGGAACATGGAAGGTCTAAAAAACTCATCGGGTTTATTAAACCGATTAATATTTACGTGTGATACGGGATATCGTCCGACGAAAATTGTCACAGGTATAGAGATCTGCTAAAATACGGCGAGAGTAACATTTGTTTAGTACATAGTCAAAGCAGCGTCAGGCTTTCATTTTGATTTTGCAGTCCCAGCCTCCATATTTCGTTTGCAGTCTCACAATATGAGAATATGTGTCGTACCTGCTTGTAATCATCAACGTGAAAAAAACATTCCCGTTGATTTTTTTCTTTTTCAGCAGAAGCGCAAGTATCAGTAGAACTGGGTAAAAATATCAGGTAAGTTTATAGATGTTAAGGACCGTTCGTTTTATCACATAAATGTGCGCTAAAGGAACATCTGGGCCGTGATAACTTGAACCAGGTGCTGGTCTGCACTTCGACGTTGATACACTTTACATCGTCGGCGTAACTTATCATCATTACGGGATTCGGCTTCACAGTGTTTTCATTCTTCTCAAAAACTGCGGACGCCTCTATACTTGGTTTCACCTTATGTGCGAACGAAGGCAAAGCTGGAAGCGCGAGCGCGAAAGGTCCGTGCGTTCAGGCTTTGCTCGAGCGCGCGAGCTGGGGAGAAACGCAAAAAGCGCTGGTCTCGCGCTTTTAGCTTTGGCTTCGCTCGCAGATAAGGTGAAACGAAGTATAAGACGTTCGTGAGCTCGCGCACCTCAACAGTCTATTAAAGCTTTGCACGAACACTCTTCGCTTCTGAAATCCCATAAAAGTTCACCATGTGAATAAAAAGTTCGTCGCTTGTCACTAACTTAACTCAACGCAGTCGCGTGCTTCACCTGGAAGGTTCATTGGACCCGCAAAGCCACCGTGTCGTCCGCTAGCACAGCAAAACCGGTCGAAAAACTTCATTACTGACTTTTATCGCCGCTACATGGAACTGAGACGATAGAAAAGGAGTTCATGATTGTGATATTTCTAAGAAATATCATAATTAAGATACCGAACGCGAAGTGATGTATGGCTGGCTATCAGCCTCGGCTCGGACTGCTCAAGCGCCGTCGTCGTCGTCTTTATTCACACCGTGCTCCGCACCTAGATACATAACACACCTTTACCCCTGGTTCGCTATGCCGCATAGCGCGACACTGGCTTCTTGACTCTCGTGGATCTTCTCACTTTTGAGCTCGCTTCAACTTTAGAACTAGTCGATCCGATAAGGGAAGCTTCCTTTTGGCTAGGGCTGACCAATGGAGCTTGAAACTCGGGTGCGGAACGTTGCGGGTATGCTAGCGCCGCAGGTACAGGCGGTGGCACCGGAGGTACAGACGACGCTGTTGGATTTCTCGGGGATGTCGGCGCAGAAGATCCGGGTAATGTAACGTCCACTAATGGCAATTCTGGCAACTGGTTACCAGATGTCTCTTGTTCCGAAGCGGGACAAACTCTCTGTCGCAGGTGGTCACCGTGGCGATGCCAACATGTGCCGTCATCTAGAACAACCTGTGATGATGATGCGCTTGCGGGGTGCACTACGGACGCAGGGATCCAGTCAGGCCCTGGTCGGAAGTTCTTTGCCCAAACGCTGTCACCCGGTT